AAGAAGAAGAAGAAGAAGAAGAAGAAGAAGAAGAAGAAGAAGAAGAAATTTTGCTTCTCATCCAAGAAACTTCATCAGTTTTGATGAAGCTTCTTGGATGAGAAGCGAAACTACTTCTTCTTCCTCAAGAAAAACAACAACCCAGTTGCCTTTTGAAAAAGCACCTTTGAGACAACTATTAACTGGGGGACTGAGAATCTCCACAGACAAAACAACACCAGTGTTCATAATTATAGCTTCCTAGTCTGGTCTTCCTTGTGAAGGGCCATCCTCAGCATTATTTGCAATTGCTTATGAAGTCAGGAATGGCTGCTGGGTCCTTTCTTCTAATTATTAGTTTTGGAGAAGCAATCCTGGTTTTTATTTCGTGAGAAGAAGAGAGGCAGGGCTGAAGCATTCACCATGGGCATCCATGGTGGGCTTGTCAGGATGCCTTGATTATCATTTAATTGATGAAGTCCTCACACATGCAATGTCATTGTGGCTTCTTGGATCTCATAAAACTTGGATCTTCTTCGCTACATAAACATGGTAAATCAAGCCAATGATGTCTATGGAGGTTCTCCAGGTCATGGTTGTCCCAAAGGTGCTTTTCCAAGAGGCAACTGGACTTTATTATTCTTTGAAGACATTTTGCTTTTCATCGAACATTTTGGATGAGAAGTGAAACATCTTCAAAAAAATAACAAGAAATCCACTGGCCTCTTGAAAAAGCATCTTTGGATCAAGCAATGATATTACAATCATTGGTACGGTACGTTTCACAGTGGAAAGTTTCTTGATTTCATTGCATTTATGAGTTTAATATTTCATTGCACAAGTGCAGGCAGGTGTAATAGAAACAGAGTTGGAAGTGATCTTGAAGGTGCTTGAATAGGAGATCCTATACCATTTCAGACAGGTGGCTATCCAGTCTCTTGTTAAAAGCCTCCAGTGATGGAGCACTCACAACTTCTAAAGGAAATTTCTTCTCAATCTGATTTATTTCCATCCATTGTTTCTTGTCCTTCCTTCTGTTTGGATAATAGATTGACACCCCTTTTTTGTGGCAACCCCTGAAATATTGGAAGACTGCTTACCCCCTTGAAATATATCTCCCTTACCTCCTGTGTTGGATGGGTGAAGTGGCCAGATTTGGAATCTGCAGATGTTTTTTCAGCAGAACTGAGAGGTATTTCAATAAAGAGAAATCACGGTGAAGCAGGAGGGTGTGCCGAGTAAGGACTGAAATTGGCTCGGTGTGTTCTCAGTGGCCCATGAAATTCCAAGCAGATGTTGGGATCTCATGTGGAAAAAATTATTTCGCTTGCACTGAATTCTCTCTTCTTTTGCATTCCCCTAGCAGGAAAGTTTTCTCTTGTTGGCCATAACTCAGGTTAATTATTACGTAGTTTGAAGGTTAATTCCGGAACCAAGGGGGAGAAAAATGCAATTTACCTTTTCTTCTATCTATTTCTATTGCCAAAGAATTTGCCTTCCTCTTTCAGCCTAGGCTGACCTATCTTGGAACACATCGATGTCTGACACAGAGCATCTCTTAACCTTTAATGCCTTGTTTCACAGTTGGATAACTAGCCTCTGCAACCCAACTTGATGTTGGATTTCTACCAGAGGAGATGACCACACCTAACCGGTTTGGTCGATTCTAAAAAAGCTTAGCCAGGTCTAACCAGGCAATCTCAAATCACTAGTCTGGGAAGCTGGAGGAACAACACAGAAGAAAGTCGTGGCAAGTCAAACTGATGTTGTTGCCAAGGAAAAAAGAAACATAGACATATCCATGGACTGCAGTCACCCTGAGGGCTAAATATGAGAAGTTATAAACCCGGTGCCAAGTTATAAGCTTGGCAGTCTATGCTTTTTACAATCATCAAACTTGCTTTCATTTTATAACAACATGATGGGGGGAAAAAATCCTCCATAAAGTGGCTTTTTTATTTTCAGAAAAGGCTTTGTTGAAAGTCTCTTCCATTTCATTCCTTGGAGTGTGGAGAATAGTTTTCAAACCTTCTTTGAAACCAATTCCCTGATGTTGAAAGCAGCAAGATGGACATAGTTTTGGTTTGTTCTCCTCATTCTTAAGTGGGTGGGGACTCAACGACAAACCAGATTTAGTCCTTGATGGACGTCCAAGGAATTACAAAGGAGAGCTTTTCTTGCTCTTTAATCACAGTTCATTATTCTTCCTTAGTGGGGAACTTATTCTGCATTTCTGAGGCAAGAGAGAGAGAGAGAGGGAGGGAGGGAGGGAGGGAGGGAGGGAGGGAGGGAGGGAGGGAGAGAGAGAGAGAGAGAGAGAGAGGAACCATTCAGAAGAAAACAAAGGAAGTAGTATTTCCAACTTCAAAAAAGGACTAATGGAATCTGGGATTTTTCCAAGCTAGGGTTCATTAACTTAAGCTACGCTTGGAATACAGCATCCAGTTTTGGTCACCACGATGTAAAAAAAAGGATGTTGAGACTCTAGAGCTTTAAAGCTGTGAGATCATTTTGCTTTTCTCCTTTTCTAGTTGCTGCTGATCCTGCTGCCTCAGAGCAAGATGACTGGTGTGATAACCCCAGCAGCACCCACAAGCGCTTGGATGCTATCCAAGAGGTAACAAGATGCAATGGATCAAAACGCAGGGTGCTTCTTATCACCACTTCCCTGCAAAGGATGGTCCTTATTCCATGGGGCAAACTGAAGCGCACAGTTCTGGAATTAGGTTGCAGGAAATGCAAACAAAAACCCAGAAGATCTAGAGCAGCATTTCCCAACCTCAGCAACTTAAATGGTGTGGATGTCAACTTTCAGAGAAAGGGAAGTGATCTGTTGAGGTTTTAGGAAGGAAGGGAGGGAGGGAGGGAGGGAAGGAGGGAGGAAGGAAGGAAAAGACAGATGAAGAGGGAAGGAGGGAGTGATAAAGGGAAGGAAGGAAGGAAGGAAGGATGGAAGGAAGGAAAAGACAGATGAAGAGGGAAGGAGGGAGCAATAAAGGAAAGGGAAGGAAAGAAAGAAAGGAAGGAAGGGAGGGAGGGAGGAAGGAAGGAAGGAAGGAAAACACAGATGAAGAGGGAAGGAGGGAGTGATAAAGGGAAGGAAGGAAGGATGGAAGGAAGAAAAAGACAGATGAAGAGGAAAGGAGGGAGCAATAAAGGAAAGGAAGGAAGGGAGGAAGGAAGGAAGGAAGGAAGGAAAGGAAGGAAGGAAAGGAAGGAAGGGAAGGAAGGAAGGAAAAGACAGATGAAGAGGGAAGGGGAGAGCAATAAAGGGAAGGAAGAAAGGAAGGATGGAAGGAAGGAAGGAAAAGACAGATGAAGAGGGAAAGAGGGAGCAATAAAGGAAAGGAAGGAAGGAAGGAAAGGAAGGAAGGAAGGAGGGAAAGGAAAGTGGAAGGAATGAGGGAGGGAAGGAAGGAAAGATGGAAGGAAGGAAGGAAGGAAGGAAAGGAAGGAAGGGAAGGAAGGAAGGGAAGGAAGGAAGGAAAAGACAGATGAAGAGGGAAGGGGAGAGCAATAAAGGGAAGGGAGGAAGGAAGGATGGAAGGAAGG